CACAGCATTTTAAGGAATTCCTTCCTACCGGTACCCATTTAAATGTCTTGCCAAAGGAATTAGTGCATGTTATTTTTTGTTAAAATAATTATTAAATAGATGTGTAGTTATTCAAAAACATCGGTTTGAAAAGTGTAAGCATTTGTGGGGCCCCACAAATGTTAGAAATGGTTTATATATTTATGGATATTTTATTCGTATCTGAACCAATTTTGATCAAACAAAGATGATTTTGTCATTTAAATTGTATGCTTTTTCAGATTTGACACTCAGGTTTTCATTATCTCACAAACAAATTATGTTGTGTAGCACCCTCTATACCAAAACTTAAGTATCCCTTTAAGTGGCTATTCACTATTCAGAGCTTTTAAACTATTTTAGTTACTGTTTAATACAATATTATCATGCTTGGCATCAGTTTGCAAGGTCTGTGCACCTTTTTTTTTATATTAAAGTCAGTTGCTACTGGGTAGTATGCTATTGCAGTTTACCTTATTTGCCAACTCATTAAATTATTACCAGAAAATGAGCAAGTTAAATTGATAGATGCCATTGATCTCGCACCATTAATCAAACAAAAAACTGATATAAATGAAATGCATTAGGGTTTAAACATAGATTTTTGAAGTTTACGAGTACCGGTTGTGTTCTTATTTATAAACCAAGGGATGTGTTTTGATTTTCATATTAATAATTAGCTAATCTTATGTTGTCTTATTACCTCATGTCAAATAAATGAAATGTTAATAAATGAAATGTTAATACATGTACATGTATCTCCATTTTTTTTTTATTCTCCTGTCTTCACTAGACCTTTATTCATGCACCCATCATCAAACCAACTTTATTATCACTGATGCCAGCAGAGTTAAAACAACCCCTTTGTGCAGTGGATAGTTGTCTGGAGTTGGATACATCATTAATGAAGAAGCCACAACCTTATCTAAGGAACAAGAAATAAAACAGTTTCCTGCAGGTTATTTAATAAGCAAATGACTGAAGTCTACACAATCGCCACCAATATGCTGAGGGAAATCTCTATTAAGATGAACTTTGTTACAATTACATAACCATGGAAAGCAGTAACACAAACAAAATATGAGATTTGGAGGATTTGTGAACATTGAAATATACCTTTGGTCTCCTGTGCAGTCATGTAGATGAAGGCTTTAAATTTTTTATAAGTGGTATCTCCCTTTGAAAATGCAGATGCTCATGAATTGAAGTTTTGCTTATGTTGCAGTAAATTGGTATTTGGAAATATTTAATAGAAAGTGTGTTGTTTGTTATTCCATTGTCCTTATATGAATGATCTTTTAGACACTACATGTGTACTATTCAAATTTATGTTTACCATTCATTAACTATTTAAAGGAATTTACTGTAAAAAATAGACAATAATATCAAACTGTAACAAAACTTATACAAAAAAACACATTCCTTGTTGGTAGGTGTCCCGCAAGATGGATAGACAACATAAAGAATTGGAAAGGCGGAACGAGAGTGAATGCGCAAGATAAGTCGGCGGCTGGGGGCTACTTTATATGCTTTATGATTAGCTGGGCAGAACTAGGAGTAGAGAAAGTAACAAAAGAGACCAAGAGGGAGGGAGAGCAAGAGAGAAAAAATAATAACAGACCGAAAGGGAGGGAGAGAGACTAATAACAGCGACTGACAGGGATGGAGAGTGAGACTTATAATAGAGAATGCAAGGGAGAGTGAGTGAGAGGAAGACTGAGAGGGTGGGAGATAGAGACTAATAACAGAGAAGGGGGAAAAGACTCCTCTTTCCCCCCTTCTCTGTTACTAGTCTCTCTCTCTCCCAATATTAGAGAGGGAGGGAGTGACTAATAACAGAGACTGAGTGAGAGAGAAAGGGAGGGATGGAGAGAGACTAATAATAAAGAGGGGGAGACTAATAACAGAGAATGAGAGGGAGGGAGGGAGAGACAGACTGAAGGGGGGGGGGGGGGAGAGAGAGAGAGAGACTAATAACAGAGACTGAGAGTGGGAGAGAGAGAGAGCGAGAAAGAGAGGGATGGAGAGAGACTAATAATAGAGACTGAGAGGGAGGGGGAGACAGAGACTAATAACCAAGATTGAGTGAGAGGGAGAGAGACACTAATAACAGAGAATAAGAGGAAGAAGTGAGAGCGAGAGAGACTGATAACAAAATGAGAGGGAGAGACTAATAGCATAGATTAAAAGACAGAAAGGGAGGGGGAGGGGGGGGGGGGCAGAGACTGAGAGGTAGGGAGAGCTGGGCACTCCCTCCCTCAAACACCCCCCCCCCCCCACACACTAATTAAATGGAAAGTAAAGATCACACATATTGACATTCATGCTTTTCCTTAATAAAATTTTTTTTTTTAAATTAAAAAAAACAGATATTATCATTACAAAGGCTCTTTGATTCGATCCTTGGCAATTTTTTTTTTTACTGGTAACTGAATAGTTTTTGGGTTCACAAGTTCACAACATTTGCTATAAAAGTTCTCTATAAAGGAGGCAAGGCAGATACAAAGTATGACAAATCAATTACAGCTGTATTATTCAGACATCTGCTGTGATCTAGAAGAGCATTAAAGATAAACTTGAGTTCTGGAAAAAAAAAAAGAAAATGAATTCTCACAGAATCAAACAAGACTTACACTGAATGTTCAAGATTACAAATAAATGTCATTTGCCAAACAATTTTGGTAGCAAATGTATACTGGCTGAGTGATGAGCATAGCAAGGAAATCAAGGTAGGTAACCCGACATCATTTGTGTAGTCCTATATACATCGTTCTGTGTACAGTGTTTGTTACTTTACCAAGACTGGGCCAAGTTTATTATGATTTTGATGACTCCAGATCCTTGCAGTAATACCAATACTTACATGCTACATGATCAACTTTTTCTGATCCATTCCACACCTTTTCTTTCACAATGCAATCCCTGACTAGAACTCGACTTTATCTTTAACTTGATTTTGAGAAGTACCGGTATTGAATATGGGGAAACACTCCTTAACAGTATAACACTGAATCACACAAAATCAAATAGTAGGCCTATTGATATTTGGATCATTCTTAAAATAAATATCACTAAGACCAACAATCCAATATATATTTCATTTGAAGATAAAACTAAAAATATAACTAATATTTTCCTTCCATTAAAGTTAAAGACCAGTTCTGGTCATGCGATTGCATTGTGAAAGAAACATTGTGGAATCGATCAAAAAAGGTTGATCATCTAGTATATAAGTATCGGTGTGTACTGCAAGGTTCTGGAATCATCAAAAGGATAAGAAATTTGGCCCAGTCTTGGTAAAGTTACAAGCACTGTACACTATCAGGTCCAAATAGATATAATAATTTACCAAATATACCAATTAGTAGGCGGTTTCCCTGCAAAATGTGTATCATCCCGTATTAGTCAAAACATATTCTTTCACATGATTGGTAATAAAAGCTTCCATTTCATTTTTTGAGAGGGGGGCATTTCTAAAACTGGTCTTTGCCTTTAAATTCACCACCCCTTCTCTTTAAACAAATGTTGCTGCTGCTACTACAAAATGTGAGTTTGTATATGAGAAATATATATAATGGAGGGTGTTCTAGACTTGGCGTAGTCATAACATTTTAGGGATCACCCAATGTGGATGGCTTCGCTGGTACTTGACATACATGTATCATGTAATCATTAAGTTATCAATACTGCACTACCCATACTTGGTGAGAAATTGTTAACATTTCCTCAAGAAAAGTTGAAAGTGACTCAAAGTACTTACATCATATCTTAAAATAATAACATAAATCTCTGCCAATATGAAACATAATTGAATTTTTGAGATACAACAGGCTTATATTTTCTCCAAACTTCTCCCTTGGGTAACACAATGGTACTAAGATCTTCATTTCTAGACAGCTTAAACTGTACCTAAAGAAAATATGTCATGTATGGTTAGAATGTAGAAAATCAAACATAAAAAACTTTTCCAGAATTCTATGGATAAGGAGTCTGAATAAAATAGAGAAACACATAAAACCCGCACATGGAACCTAAGTTGGAGTTTGGGTTCCGTGCAGGCCTTTACCTTCAAGTGTGTACAGGTGCAACAAGTAGTCTATTCACAAGTCACTTTTTGTTAACCCTTACTGTACTGGGGGGGGGGGGGCTGGGAGGCCCCCCCCCTCGACATTTTCGGAGATTGCGCCACAACCGCTTGGAATTTTGAATTGTCGTTCCATGACTTTTCCCCTCAAGTCTTGCGCACACTTTGATACCATTTTCGTCGAAATTGGATATACATGTACCTGTAAGGTGTTACATAACAATTAGTATGCACATGTCAACAGAAATGTAAATACAGGTTTAAATGTATTTCTTCCTATGAATTGATATCAAATTGCTTTTATATGTTTCTCAAAGTAACTTGATGTATTCCAGAACAAAAGAATGCTTTAGAAATAAAACAATAGATATAATAAGAAATAAAAAACAATAAAATACAAAAGAAAATAAATATTTGAAAATTGCATCAAATTTGCTTAAATTATCATTATTAATTACATCAAAATTACTATTTTGTGTTAGAAAAGAAGCTTCATATGAATAATGAGTTTCAATTAACATTCAAAAAGTGGAGTCTGACAATTTTTGTTATGATTCTAGTTCCCTGTATATTTCCAGATTTGATATACATTCTCAATTATCATGAAGATAATGTAACCTCATGAATTTGAGATGAAGGAAACATTTATTCAATACATTTTCAACATTCTTCGCAAGTCTACAGACAAAAATGTAGAGTTTTCTGTAAAATGCATAAAATTAGCATTTTACATAATTAATTAGGCTATAACAACAAAAATTTGCATATTAGGAAAAAATTAATTATACCATCTTGTTCCTTACGTAAAAATCAACAAACATGCAAATTTTTGTGTTCATCGACCTTTCGACGGCCGAGATCATGGGGGGGGGGGCCGACCAGGCCCCCCCCCCCCCTAATCAGGAGGTGCTCAAAATAGCCCAGTACAGTAAGGGTTAATATTGAGAGTGTATTTAAACTTTCTCTTTATAGAAATAATATTTGAAGCTTAAATCTTGAATATACTGTGTGCGCCATATATTTTAGAAAAGGAGATTTGAAGTAAAAGGGTATTGGATTCATCTACTTAAACCATTTGAGTAAGTCTTTCAAATTTGTTCAATTTTTGTCAAAGGGTAACAACATATTACCGTTATTACTTGTTACACCATTTACTTTTTGGAAAAATTTGGAAGTTCTTATTGACTAGAAATGTTGAACAGAAACATGCTTGTTTCCTAAAGTGACAGGGAAGGAAATTTGGTATCTGAATAGTTGAGTCAGTTGGCTAGGGCCAGCTAGGTTGTGAACAAAAAGTTGTTGCGATAAATGATGGCAACCACCATGTAATGGAAACTGAAATTGGCAGTAATATGTTTTGTTATTTGAGTACCGGTAACTCTTAAAGTGTTTACATTCGGTTACTACAAATTCGGATAGAATATTGTCCTCGATTAAATAACGATCAGAGTGAGAAGCCATTCATCATTAAACAAAACAAACATTTGTACGAGGACATGCCCCAGTTTAGAATTGAAAGTTATAATTTTTAATCTTTACTTGTTATCGTTTGAAACTACATGACCCCAAAATAAAATGTGATTTTAAAATAATGTCTATTACAAATCATTGCTGGGTTTATTCTAACACTAGATGGCATTTATTTTTCCCATACCGGTATTGCACAATGCCAGGTCATTGCAAAATCACTCACAAAATGGTCTAGCTATTCCCATTTGCGAGCATTTATGTCTGCGAAATATATGGCGTAGGTATACAGTAGTATAGCGACATTGAACCCCAAACATACAGATCAAAGTATTTTTTGGTGATTGGTAGTACACTTTAAATGATGTGCACCAAACAGGCACTAGGAAACCAATCTGACCAAAGGGAAAGACATTCCATACATCATACGAAGCTCACAGTATCACTATGTCACAATATTTGTTGTAGAACATGAATCCTTATTGTCATCTTCTTCATCACTGTCTCTGGCAAAGACGAGGACTCGACTGCCTACTTTACCCTCTGGTAAGTGTGTGTGAAAGTAACTGGTAACCTATCAAAACAAACAACACCAAAATAAGAGATGAAAGGATACAATGAAAAACAATTTCTGAATCATGATCCATGATAAACAATGAATTTTTTTTAAAAATTCTGCTTGCTGTTACTTCTCTGTACAGTAATTTGAGTATTGAGTATTGAGAATCGAGCCAAATTTGCTAATAAAACAAAAAAATCACCAGAAGGGAACAAAACATTATTTCTCTAGATTGGAGCCAGTGGAATGGCCACTAATGACTTTGGTTTAATATGCATGTACATTGGAGATAATTTTTTATTTTATCTGTTATAATCATTTTCAAAAGGAGATGGGTATGTTTTCTCAAGCTTTTTTAATTTTCAGTGCTATTAATAACAAATTTCAGAGGTAAACTAAAAGGATTTTTTACTACGTGCAGTAGAAAATGATGCCTCCGCCATAGAGCGGTTTGACAAACCAAAACGGAAGCAACTTTTTAAATTCAAGTTTGATTGTAATCCATTAATAGGTTTTCAGAATATCGTGATTAAACTGATTACAAGCTATTTTTGATTTACCTGTATGAACCTTTGATCTTTGACCTCTTGACCTTAAAATTTGATCAGTTCATTGGCCCTGCAAGATACATGCATGTCCTGAGTTTGATAGTAATCTGCCTATCGGTTCTAATGAAAATGTGATCACAAGCTATTTTTGCATACATAATGAGCCCTGTGACCTTTGACCCCAAAATCTAATCAGTTCATTGGCTCTGCAAGATACATCCAAGACCCAAGTTTGGCGGGAATCCATCAATTGGTTCTCGTCGCGGAGGCATAGAAATCAAATTTTATTACATCGACCAAGGCACAGCGTGTCATTTAAACCCATTTAAAAGTGAATAGGAAAGCATCATCAAAGAGGTATCATATCTTTCCTGTTTCAGACTCACCTCATGGAAATGATGTGAACAAAGAAAGTCTTCAATGCTCTGTTGGGGGAAATGGAAATGGAGAAAAAAAAATTGAAAATCATCAGAAAAAGCGATCAGAACACTTCACCTAAATGTGAAGGTGATAGATGAATGCTGAAGGCTATTTGATTCAGTACTTGGAAAGACAATGGCATGGCTTGGTTGACAAACATACATGTGCATTGTTATGATGGCATTCAATATGCATTCTTAAGTTATATAGACTTGCTGCAATATACACTGTCTCTACCCCTCACTCACTGGCTAACAGACCATAAAAATACATGTAACCCTACATTTTTAAGAACTAACCTGTGTTGCATTAGTGGGGTAGAAGGTCAATTTCTTATTCATGACCGCCTTCCTTTATAACTTCTTCCTTTGAAAAAATTAAAGGCTTGTTCATATGTGCTACTGTAATACTGCAGGTTTTTGTTAAGGGTATTCAAGTGTACAGTACTGCACTTCACATTTTTGTATCTTATCATGCCATATTATTATTGAGTATGGTATGTACAGGACCTTTGTTATGCACAGCTGCTTTTGTCATCCCCACTTGCCATTCACTTACTGTAAAGCTCTGTGTATAAGACGCACCCTATTTTTTGGTTTTGCTTTTGTGCCGACAGCAAACCAGATCAGATCGCGTCTTATTTCAGCGTTTGGTCCCGTTCAGAAACCCAAGCCATGCAGGGAATTAGGAAGGACTTTTATTTATTACACGGCGCAGTTGTAGTTGCTTGTGAACTTGTCACAAATAATAGTAATGTTGTTTTTAAAAGTAAAGATGACAGAGAAATTTTCATCCAAGTCCAAACAGAAATTTGGACAGGCTAGATATCGAGTGAGTCGATATCCCCTGTGTGAGTGAGCTGCATGATACGGGTGGTTAAGCTGAAGACACGGGAGAGCTTCGGCCGCAAACTGCTTTGTGAAGGGGCATATTTGACTGAAAAAAAAAACTCTTTTCCCTTCAAATTAGGAATATGCATGTAGTTTAACTTTTTGCACTATTTGCATTATGTAATTCAGTTCAGTTCAGTTTATTAATTTTTCTCAAGCATAAGAACAACATTACAATATATACAACTAGATGGAACTTCGATTGCGTGCAGTCGAAAATGATGCCTCCGTCATAAAGCAATTTTACAAACCAAAACAGAAAAAAAAAATAAAATTCAAGTTCAATTGTAATCCATTAACAGGTTCTCAGAATATCGTGATTACAAGCAATTTCTCATATACATATATGACCCTTTGATCTTTGACCTCATGACCCTAAAATCTACTCAGTTCATTGGCTCTGCAAGATGTCCTGAGTTAAATAGTAATCCATCTGTCAATGAGAATGGTTCACAAGCTATTTTTGCATACATAATGAGCCCATGACCTTTGACCTCATGACCCAAGAATCTACTCAGTTCATTGGCTCTGCAAGATACATACATGATCTAAGTTTGGCAGGAATCCATCAATCTGTTCTAATGATAATGCGATCACAAGCTATTTTTGCACATATAATGAGCCGCATGACCTATGACCTTGACTTCATGACCCCAAAATCTAATCAGTTCATCGGCTCTGCAAGTAACATACATGACCTAAGTTTGGCAGGAATCCATCAATTGGTTCTTGAGATAACGCGATGACGAGCTGTTTTTGCATACATAATGAGCCCTGTGACCTTTGACCTTGTGACCCCAAAATCTAATCAGTTCATCAGCTCTGCAAGTTACATACATGAGCAGAGTTTGGCAGGAATCAGACAATCGGTTTTTCAGATAACGCGATCACGAGCTGTTTTGCATACATAATGAGCCCTGTGACCTTTGACCTCGTGACCCCAAAATCTAATCAGTTCATCGGCTCTGCAAGATACATACATGACCAAAGTTTGGCAGGAATCCATCAATCGCTTCTTTAGATAATGCGATCACGAGAACGGGACGTAGGGACGTACAGACGGACGGACGGTACGACAGACGGACGGACAACCCGAAAACATAATGCCTCCGGCCACTTCGTAACGGAGGCATAAAAATGGATAATATTCATAGTAAGAGAAAAAACAGAAACTACAAAAAAGTTTATCAAAACTTGTATGGTGTAGTTCCCAGTAAAGGGAAAAAATACATGGTATAAACAATTACAATAACAAAATACAAAAGTAAGCAGATTAATCAGTTAACACACTACACCAAGTCACCAACAGACACCAGCAATCATACAGGGAGGGTAGGAGGGGTTCATGGTAATTGTAATTGTAATTCATGTCGAGACACAGAGATTTTCGAAAAACCACTAAAAAGTAGCATTTTGAGAACTCAAAATATCCTGTACCTGTGTATACGAGGCACCCTCGACTTTTGAATTTTTCCGGTGTAAAAAAAAAAGCGTCTTATACACAGAGATTTAGGGTAGTACACTAAACACCGCCACTGTTTACTGCGACATATGAACTGTGCCTTAGTAGTTGATGCTGTGCCATACTCACTGGTTTAAGAACATCAAATATGATAAGGTGAGTTGGGATAGAGGCTGAATCTTCATATTCTTTCTTCAGCCAATCCACGGGATTATTATAAAACAGTGATGCCTCTTCTACATAATCCTCTTCTTGGTTCAGGTTGGGTTGGCACTCAAGAAAGCGCATTGGTAGATTATTGTGAACATGGCTGAAAAAAATACAGAGAAAGATCTTTTTAAGATCAAAGTAGATTCCCTTGATTGGCATACCTCAAAACAAGATAGGTATGAACAAAATCAATCACTAAGCCATCAGTTTATCAATCAATCAGTCATTTGAACGTCTGTTTTCCCTACATGGAATGTTAATAAATATTCCTGAATAAATAATATGAGACATGAAGAAATTTCTTGAAAATCTATAACCAGAAGAGCTTGATATAGAGCTATGTTTTAGTCACACATGTAACTAAAATCCTGAAAAAATGTTGACACGAACCACTTCTTGTACAGGACTGTTCAAGAGAACTTTTCAGCCTGAAAAATTCACACAATTAAATTAATTTCTCCTGAAGGCCGGCTTTACTGATTGACCATGCTACCTATTAGCTTGTAAATCTTTGACCCAGTCCTGACTTATGCATAGTTAAGGTGTAGGATGGCAAGGCATGAGCAACATGACAGATCTCTGCTCTCCTGAGGAATGTAGGTCTGCTACATCCTGAACACCCCTCTCTGATGGAATGGTAAACAAAAGAAACCCCACACAAACCCCATTGTGAATTACCTATAAAAAGGTGTAGAATGGCAAGGCATTAGGAACATGACAGATCTCTGCTCTCCTGTTGAATGTTGGTCCGCTACCTCCTGAACATACCCCATCACGTCCAAGACCCCTCTTTGATGGAACAGTCCAAAGTAGATACTAGCCGGAATGTTGAAGAGGAGATACAATATGAGAAGTTTGGACTTGCCGCTACGATGCATATCTTCCATGAATAGACCTGTTGAGAAGGAATAATAAGATCATCAAATCAGAAGTAGAAATGATGGTTGCAATGGAAGATTTAGAATGGTATCAAAAGTGCAATTGGACATTATCAAGAAAACTGCAAATAGACACATTTATGAGTTACAATGCGATGATTAAATTAGAAGTAACTTTGTTTCTTGCTAGTCAAAGGACATTGTTTTTACTTGCAGCAGATAACCTGATGCCTTCAATATAAAATGGGGGTGAACATTATCAACATTTTTATAATAGTTATAATAAAGGATTTTACCTAACATGAATTTCAGTATTGATTGTAATTTTATAAAGAATTTGCCTCGACTAGCAGACCACAATTTGAAAATTCCCCCTCTCCCATAGATTTAAAAATTAAAAAAATGAAATTCTCAATGTGTGTGAGGTATGCAAGACAGATTTTTACTACACTGGTACCATTTTGTAAACTGGGCTGGAATTGTTTTTTAAATCAATGAAATATAACAATCTTTTTTTGAGATACAAAGTTTAATGCATTTACTTACCACAAAATAGCATACAGATGGGAACAACAGGAAATATGAAACGAAACTCTTTATGACTTGTAAAGCTATAAATGAAATTAAGACAATATAAATTTAAGTTCAATTTGAGAAAAACTGATAATAAGAAAGAAGGACAAAGAAAACAAGTACTAAATATAAACTGACATAGTAATTAAAAGATAAAGTTGAGTTCTGGTCATGCGATTGCAATGTGAAAAAAAAACGGTGTGGAATCGGTAAGAAAAGGTTAATCATCTAGCATAAAATTATTAGTGTGTACCGCAAGGTTCTGGAATCATCATAATGATAAGAAATTTGGGCTAGTCTTGGTTAAGTTACAAGTACTGTACACAGAAAGATGTATACAGGACTACACCAACATGTGGCATAAATATCGGTCCCGATTTTTATGATGCTACATGCCATATTTACTAGTAATGACAAATTTCACAATATAAAAACCAAGTTGTTTTCATTTCAAACTTAGCATTTTGAAAATGCTAAATTAGCCACTGGTTACACTTTAATAGCTTGTCAGTACACAGAAACACAATCTATCAAATTATACTGTTCAGTTTCATAGACTGCTATGTTTTTACTGTCAAATGAGACCATTTATGTTGCATTCAGTCAATTTTGAAGAGCCATGCTTTTCAGGGAACATTTCTTTTCTCGTGTTCTTCCACACTTGCATAATACAATGATAATGCTCACAAATTATTTTCACCTCTTCCCCAGAACTCAACCTTTTCTTTAAAATCATGATAAGCTGCATTAATTCAATTATATAATCAAATTAATCATCTGAATTAAATTTTTAAGACAAGAAGAGAATAACAGTACTGGCACATTTACATTATGTTCAAAATGTGCATACTACCATGTGAGTCAACAAAAGTTTACACCTAGAAATTGCTAATTATTTTCAAATTCATCTATGAACAGTAAATTATTATACATCTTATGAAAGAGTGTTTCATCTCAAATCATTTGGTATCATTTTTGTGTTGTATGTGTTCACGCTTGGATGAACACGAGGCCTTGTTTGCGAGAGTGCAAAAATCAAATTGCGCCAAAGTGATGCGTACAGTATGTATTATGTTGGGACTAGTGGAGTGAGAGAATGAATTAAATGTATCAAATGAAATGCATTGCATATGCTTTTTGCAAAGGGCAAAGTCACACCACCCACACACACGCGCACAAATGTTCGTTGATATTTGATATTCGATATTGATATGTGTGGCATGATTAATTTTGTTGGGGATGTTATTTGGATCTGCAAAGACCAAATTAATACCCAAATCCAAATTGTTTTATTCAAACATCACATAAGCAACTTTGGCACAAGTCGATTTTTGCACTCTCGCAAACAATGCCTCGTGTTCATCCAAGCGTGAACACATACCACACAAAAATGGTACCAAATGATTTGAGATAAAACACTCTTTCATAAGATGTATAATAATTTACTGTTCATAGATGATTTTTAAAATAATTAGCAATTGTCTAGGTGTAAACTTTTTTTTGACTCACTCTGTATATGACACTAATGAAAAACTATTTTAACACCAGAAAATTAATGTTGAATGAAAAGAAATGAAGGGTCAGACTTTCACATACAGGTACATGCTTATTAATGTAATTTCCTATTGTAGGTTACAAGATGCTTTGCATTCCTATGCAGATGAAGGTTAGGGTGTGTGCGGGGGTGTGTACGCATGTACATTACATGTACGTACAGAGTGAATGGATTAGCCATTGACCGTTTTCGCCTCGAGCTACATGGCCGCTTTAGTTTTTGCTCTCGTAAATATGCGCCTCACTCTTGGGGTTTACTTATAGCATTAAGTTCCCTAATACCTGCTTTTAGGGAGAGGAATCGGTTGGTTTCTTTTCGCTTTCTACTATGGCGGATGCAGCCCTTTTCCTGACTTTCCGGTAGTTTCCAATTGGTCTTCTAAATTCGGTTCCTCAACCACCACCACATCACGCTATTTCGGCAGAAGGGCTTTCAGCCATTGTGAAGGAAGCGGTAGGTGGAGTAAAAAATTACATTGACGAAGCTCTCGCTTTACAGAAAGAGCAAACCATGAAGAGTATTGAAACTTCCAAAGTTCAATTTAAGTTCAAAGGTAACCATGTTCAATTTAATTTTAATAATTCTCTTCAAGAAAGCATAAGAAGAGCTATTGGTCATATCGAGAAGGGTGAGCACGGTTCCGCTCTGAAGGAACTAGTGAAAGCAGAAGATGACATCGGCAAAAGAAACAAGCTTATTTGGATTGCTGACAAATCTGAAGATGGTTGGAAGGTCGTGGAGGAGTACCTTTCAGAAGAGTTGGCTAGTGATTCCGACGATGATAAGCGGATTCATGCTGCCCAAAATAGGGCAGCAACAAAGCGCCGTAAATCGAGATCCGTCAGAGGTAAATTTGTGCCCTACAGACGCCTGGGCTCAGGCTCCGCTGAGACGTATTCCAATCCTGATTCTAATCCTTCTTTTCGCCGCTATATTTTCGCGAATAAACAGCAGCGTATCCAACCTCAGCCAGGTCTCCCCAGGTTCAACGACCACTGCTTCGCCTGTGGCAAGTCAGGCCACTGGCGCCGTAACTGCTCGTTCGTCGGAGGCAAACACGCTTCCAAGGAAGGCGCTGGTCACTAAATGCAGTTCTGGGACCGGTAAGCGTTCTATTTTGGTTATGACCGTGTAAAACCCTTTTTTTTTATAGAAAATACAGGGTTTTATAAGAACAGCTGATTTTTATGATGAGTTCCTGTTTCTTTCTGCAGTTTGAAAATGTGCCTGCATGTTCATAATATATGATAACACAATGAAGTATGGTGCTCAGTGGAAGGTTTAATTTCTTGATAATATTGATTTTTATGAATGCTTATTGTCATGCACTGTTATTTTTGTTTTTGCAATTGCAGTGTATCCACAGTCAAACACCGAGAGCAAGACAGAGGAGACAGTTTTTCGTTTACCGGTAAATTCCAACAGTGCAGAGATTGAATGTTCTCAGAGAGTTTCACATGAGTTGAAGGAACGGTATGATTCACAATTTTATCTTGATAATTTTTTTAATACGAACAAGGATCTGCAGAGCCTATAGTACGTGGCAGAATGAAAGCGAACATAGACTTTTGGCGTAACATCGGTGCACCGGATGAGATAATTAAAGTCGTTGTAACAGGATATAGAATTCCATTTATACAGACCCCGGCTACCGCTAATTTCAAGAACAACAAGTCTGCCAGAGACAACCCGGAGTTTGTTTGTGAAGCCATTTCAGATCTCCTTACTAAGAATTTAGTAATTGAGTTAGATCATGTACCCGATTTTGTTAATCCTTTGTCTGTGTCAGTTCAGAATTCTGGAAAAAAGAGACTGATTCTAGATTTGCGTTACATAAATCAATTTGTATGGAAACAAAAAGTTTGTTTTGAAGATTGGGAAACTGCTTTACAATTTTTCCAGAAGGGTGATTATATGATTTTTTTAAAATCTCAAATCAGGTTACCACCATGTAGACATGTTTAAAGATCATTGCAAATATCTTTGTTTTAGTTGGCAGTTCGAAGATACAGTTCGAAGACATTTTTCCTTTCAAGTTCTGCCCTTTGGTTTATCTACAGCCCCATACATCTTTACTAAGTTTATTAGGCCTTTAGTAAAGCACTGGAGAAATTCAGGCATTTTTCTTGTTGTTTTTCTTGACGATGGCTGGATTAGAGCTCCATTCCTGTTAGAATGTCAACGCATTGCTTAATCTACAGTGATCTATACGATCAGATTTGTTGAAAGCAGGACTGGTGCCTAATGTAGAGAAGTCCATGTGGACACCTGTACAAAAAATGGACTGGTTGGGTTTAACCTGGGACACCGCTCATGGTACGTTACAAGTGACAGATCGGAGAGTATCAGATAATTTGTCATGCATCGAAAATGTTATTACGATGTTACCTTATATCACAGCCAGAAAATTGGCTTCTTTTGTTGGTAAGATCATTTCTACTATGCATGTAACAGGACATATTGCACAACTGAGAACAAGATTTACGTGTATGATCATTGCAGCTAGCTTCCACTGGGATAAGATCATTAATTTATGTAAATACAGTGGAGTCATTGTAGAGTTATTTTTCTGGAGAGAATATTTGAAAGTCCTTAACAAGAGGCAAATCTTTCGATATTCCGTACCACAGGTACTTATATTTTCAGATGCTAGCCACGTCGGCTGCGGTGCCTGGACGGCAGAGTGTGGTGGAATGCAGTTCCAACAGGTCTGGTCATCAGAAGAAAGAGGTAAAAGCTCCACTTGGAGAGAGTTGAAGGCAGTTGCACTGGCAATTGGAGCTTTTGCTCCTAAGTTGGAAGGTCAGACAGTTAAAGTGTTTACTGATAATACAGGAGTGGAAATCATTTTGAGAAAAGGTAGCATGAAATGTGATCTTCAATGTTTGAGTCTTGATGTTGCAAAATCTTGTTTTTATTTAAATGCTCAATTGCTTGTTCAATGGATTCCTACATGTAGGTCAGCTGATTATTTGAGCAAAGAGATGACTGGGGTGTATCACAATTGTTCTTTTCTTTTATGGATAGTATCTGGGGTCCACATACAGTTGATAGGTTCGCAGACAATTATAACACCAAGTTACCTCGTTTTAATTCAAAGTTTTGTTGCCCCAATTCCAGTCAGGTTGACGCCTTTTCTGTCTCGTGGCAGTCAGATAATAATTGGATAGTTCCCCCCATTGACACGGTAGGTCAAGCCATCAAGCATGTCAAGGCATGTAATGCTCTGACCACTCTGGTGGTTCCTCGTTGGCCATCTGCTCCTTTCTGGCCTTTGATTTTTTTTCAAGATCCAGCTCTTTTTCGTCTATGGAAATCCAGACAATTAGATTTACTGATCCCACACTTATATTTGTTCAAGGTAAAAATTCTAAGTCTATTTTTGGTACAGATAAATTCAGAAGTGAAGTAATTTGTGTCAGACTGGATGGAAGGAGGAGTTAAATTTTAAACGACACAGAGAAGACGTTCATATTGTGTTTTATACTCACTGGAGAATTGTGATACCGTACGAGAAAGAAAAGGGTATTTAACAGTGTCTCACTGGAGAAGTATACTAATGTAAGAGGCACTGGCATAGTCTTACATGAATTGCGGAATGCAATATGATATTGAGCATATATATATATGTTATGCAATGTGATGATGCGATATATCAGATAAAGTTTTGTTGGCGCAACAGTTCCTCACTGGAGGGATGTACATTTTTTGGTGGGATTGTATTTTTTCAGGATTCAGGATTCCAGGCGACACTGGAAAGCATTTGGATGATTCAAGAGCAGAGAGCACAGTGAGAAAGTACAAAGGAGCCATAAGCACATGGAAACAGTGGTGCGTGAAAAACAGGATGTCTAGTGTGAACCCAACAATGGAAGAGGTAGTAGAGTATTTTGTTTCTATTTATAATCAAGAAGCTCCCTTTAGCAGGATAGAAACTGCTATTTTCGGTTTAAAGTGGCATTTTGACTGTTTTGACAGCACACAAAATGAATGTTCAAAATCTGTGCAGAGCTGCCAACCTTGTGCGACCAAAAAAAGGAATCATGATGGCAAAAAAAAGGAATTTCAAGCAAAAAAAGGAATTCATAAAAACGAAACTTACAACCATGCGCGACACACTTCCAATGCAGAATGTTTTTTCCATACAAGCAGGTTATTTTGGTTTTATCGGCATTTCATTCTTTTTGAGAATATTTTTCTCTTCAAGTATGTTTTAAAATTAGTTTTCTATTGCATTTGTGATCAAATCACCATTTTATGGCAGTTGTTTGACGTGTAGTATGTACAAAAAAAAAAAAATAAATAAATAAATTAAAAAACGTAATTTATGAAGAAAAATTCTTATAGATACTTGAATAGTGCAGGTATTGTTGATTTGTCGATGGATGAGTTTATTTTTTGACAGTTGTCTTTCTGTAAATCCTTGAATTCATACAAGCTTAGAGGCGGTAAGCTATCGTACACACGATGCAGGGAAATTTTCAAGGACTCGCTAGAAGCGATTGGAGTGGATTCCAAGTTGTTCGGTCTCCACAGCCTCAGAGCAGGAGGAGTTACTGCAGCAGCAGCAATTGGTGTCTCGGACAGATTATTAAAGAGACATGGAAGATGGGTTTCCGACTCTTCCAAGAATAGGTACGTGAAAGAATCACTTTCTAATAAGATGCTTGTTTCGCTTAACTTGGGAATTTGATTGTACCTGAATGGGATTAAACATGAATATGACATCTGGTATTTATTCTTGGAATGTATTAATTGGACATCTTTTGATTTTAGTTCATATTGCTAACACTATAAGGCAGTAAAGGCATTATTATGTGTTTCATTATTTGTAGTATTTAGAGAGCAAGTTAATGGGTGATGACCAGATACATGTAATTACCTTTTATAATGGGCCAAAGGAAGAATTAAGATCTTTATTGTTCTCTAAAATGGATTGTTCAGACTGCATTATATTTATAATTAGTTGCATGTGGTACATGAAAGTATTTACAACTCAGTTAAAGTTGAATACTTGAAAGCATAATTGAATATATAAAGTATGATGACTATGCATTAACAGTAAGATGGATAATTTAATGAAATGTTGAAGTTATGATATTACTTGGAATAAGTGGTTAACGCATCATAGATGTTTGCTAACATATTAGAACACTATGTGGAGGATCACGTTCATTCTTTCCCCGTTCTTTTTTCCTTGATATTGGGGAGACTAAGTTTCTTGTGTTCGTAGCTGAAGTTCAGTGCTCCCCAAGGTAATAATAATGTGTCATTATATATATGTATGTTTGTATAGTATAGCAAAGGTCGTAAGATCAATAGGAAAAGATTAATTACGTTGGAGTTTGCGAATTAGGAAATAATGTAATTTCCTATTGTAGGTTACAAGATGCTTTGCATTCTTTGCAAATGAAGGTCAGGGTGTGTCCGGGGGTGTGTACGCATGTACATTACACGTACGTCCAGAGTGAATGGATTAGCCATTGACCATTTTCGCCTCGAGCTACATGGCCGCTTTAGTTTTTTAGTTTTTATATAATGTTATATCTTGCTTCGTTTACCTGGAATAAAATGGAAATGATTGAATATATAGATATGGTGGCGTTCTTTGTTGTGTCGGTTTGGTAAGCCTTTTCGTTCATTTGCCCTTTTTATATTTTTAGGAGATACACTTTTCGCTGTTAAAGATTCATCTAATTTTTCGACAGGAAGACGTGTGGCTTCTTCCTTATACAGGTTAATTGTTTTCCATCTTGAAACCGTTTCATGATGTCTTACTGATCTACTTTCTGCCTGTATCGCGCGCGGTCTTGTGCTCGTAGCTGAAGTTCGGTGCTCCCTAAGGTAATTATAATGTTTCATTATATATATATATATGTTTGTATAGTATAGCAAAGGTCGTAATATCAATAGGAAAAGATTTATTTACGTTTGAGTTTGCGAATTAGGAAATAAAGACTTTGGATCAACTTATGGCAGATGACACTAATCAACAAGTCTCTCCATTATACAACAAAATATGTACTTAAAGGGATAGTTGAGTTCTTGTTAAGACTGCAAATGCCTTCAAAGTGCATGGTTATTGCTCTTATTCATATTTATGACATCTCTAGTGCCCTTTTAGAACCTAAAATTGATATGAAGGTAATTTTAGACCCCACAATGAGTGAATTTAGATTGAATACGATCATACCAATTCACCTCCACTTCAAAAAAGTGACCATTAAGTAATTAATTAATTCATAATAACAATACATAGGCTGGCTGGTTGTGCGTATTATAACCAACACAAAAAAGCCAACAAAAAGCCAATAATGGCATTGGCTGGAATAAAACGTATAAGGTGCTATCTCGTTTTTCAATGGCTCGTTCAAAATTACCTGGATATTTCAGCCGTTTCTGAACCGATTTTGATCAAACAAAGATGATTTTGTCATTTAAATTGTACATTCGAATTTCTTTCTCACACAAAAATTATTTTGAGTGGCGCCCTCTGCAACAAAATTCAACTATCCCTTTAATTCTCATTTATCCCCTAAACAAAATTCTTTTTTGAACCCCGCAACACTGGTTAACAAGAAAAAACTCCTAATTCTCGAGTATGAAGGAATAAGCCCTTCATGAGCAGAACAGCAGGTAACTGTAACACATACCTGTAAATACATAACGTCCATAACACTGTCCATAATAGCAGGCCATTCTTTTTGTAGCCCATCTTGGCACCCATAACAAAGCTAGGTATATGAGTTGTCATGACGACTGCAAAGCCTTGTGAGAAGTACCAATGCCATGGATGGGTCCCATATAATGCACCCAAATCATTAATAAAGTTGAACTCAATGAAATTCTTCTGAACCAACACAAACTGAAAATAAAACACAGAAATGACATTATAAAACTGATTTAACCCCTTTCACAGCAGAAAATACCACCCAAAATAGTTGAGTTCTGTATAATGTGTTTGGACTAAGATCTACATTTTTCTTCCCCCCCCCAAAAAAAAGAAGCAATTACCTGAACACAGACCTGGCATGCTGCCTACAGAGTTGTTTTTTGCCCCCAAAATAGGGGTCCGTCTTATACACAGAGATTTACAGGAATATAATTTTAAAAAATTAAATCAAAAGAAGAAAGAAAAAACTAGATGGAACTTCAACTGCGTGCAGTCGAAAGTGATGCTTCCGTCATAGAGCAATTTTACAAAACCAAAACGGAAGAAATTTTTCAAATTCAAGTTCGTTTGTAATCCATTAACAGGTTCTCAGAATATCATGATTACAAGCTATTTCTCATATACATGTATGACCCTTTGATTTTTTACCTCACGACCCCAAATGCAATATACATCTTGAGTTTGATGGTAATCCATCCATCGGTTCTAATGATAATGCAATCACAAGCTATTTTTGCATACATAATGAGCCCCATGACCTTTGACCTCATGACCCCAAAATCTAATCAGTTCATTGCCTCAGCAAGATTCATACATGTCCTGAGTTTCAAGGTAATCTGTCCCATCTGTTCTGATAATGTGATCACAAGCTATTTTTGCATACATACTGAGCCCTGTGACCTTTGAACCCAAAATCTAATCAATTCATTGGCTCTGCAAGATACATACATGACCTAAGTTTGGCAGGAATCCATCAATCGGTTCTTGAGATAATATGATCACAAGCTATTTTTGCATACATAATGAGCCCTGTGACCTTTGACCTCGTGACCCCAAAATCTAATCAATTCATTGGTTCTGCAAGTTACATACATGACCAAAGTTTGGTAGGAATCCATCAGTCGGTTCTTGAGATAACACGATCACAAGAACGGGACGTACGGACGGACGGACAACCCGAAAACATAATGCCTCTGGCTACTTCGTAACGGAGGCATAAAAATCATACTCACATAACCATAAAAAAGCCTGTCCATAAGAAGAGAAGCGGAGATGGCTATCAATCTGAAGCACAAATCAAAACGAGAGAACTCAAATTAACCTTATACTTATTCAAACTACTTCTTGCTTTACCAATTTGTTTTGATAATGTTTGGCATTTAAAAATATGGGCACATGCCTACTTTATGCCTATACAAGTACTTTATCTTTCCCCCTTCTTAAAATCTATTTTAACAAAATGAATCATATTTAAACACATCTGACCCTAGGAAAGCTGTAGTGAATATAAGAAATCAAAAGTCATTCATTGGCAGTATCAATTTTTTCTCACAACGTATTTTAAAGAAAGTACCAGAATACATAATTATTTTGAATGATATTGTTGTATTCATGTCTATATCCAAGATTTACTGAATATTCTGTCAAGTAGTTGGTCTAATCAATCATCCATATTTGCGCAAAGAATACATTGCCTTCTAATACTGGGAAGAATTTTGTTTTCAATTCAACACAAAATGGTTGAAAAAAGTCTTGTACTGTCATTTCTCTCTTTTCAACTCCCTCTCCCTCAAATTCACAATACCACTTCCATATGGCATTATTGAACACTATTAACGGGGAAATTTTACATGGTTATCTTGCATTCTTATAGTGGTGAGAAGAAAAAAAAGATTCTCACAAAAATTTCACTGCTAGTTTTCAAGAATATTGGCAATCAAAGTTTTTGGAGAGGGTATTCTACTGAATTAATGACCAATCAGGCCCATCTATGTAATACTCAGTCCCTTGTGTGCCTGTCTAAGTTAGTACTTTGTAACAATCATCAAGTTTTATATATAATTATCTGGATTGTTAACCTACATTATGAACAGTTCAGAATAAGTTTCATACAGTATTTCTTGAAATGCTTTTTCATTATTTCTAGAAATACATTTTCATTATTTCTTGAAATACATTTCCACAATCACACTTCAAAATTACTACCGGTATTACACATATGTCAGATATAATAGCAGAGTAATTCTGATATCATAGAAGATTTATTGTAACTCACCCAACTGGTAGGAATAATGTTACTGCCACTCTGATAACATCATGTGTAATAATAATTATGCTGCCAGGAAAAGAAAATATTAGAAGTAAATGTTAAATAGCTAAATACAGCCAGCTCAACACATCGAAAAAATATTAATCTACATTTGCCACACTTGACACTGACGACATATTACTTAAAATGCAAGAGTGCCATAAAGGCAGCCATGCTAAAGCCGGGGAATAGGAGTTATAATTATGAAGCGCAACGAGTGTCAAAGAAATCTCCAAAGTGAAGAAGAAAAGAAATGTAAGTAACTAGGCACCAGATGAAGATTCAAATAAAAAGTAATAGGATTCTTTTTCTTCTCTGGGAGTTCTCTTAAAACTTTCCTTAGTAAAAGAGAAAGTTCTGAATAGTAATTTTCCCAATTTTGCCAATTTGTAAGAGCCCCTTCTGTATCTTTCCAAAGCTGAACTGATCTTCATTCCAGTCTCTCTGTTTGCTGGTGCCAATAAGGCAAATACCGAAAAGGTGGTTACTAGACTCCTCAAAACAGGTTCCACACTTCAATTTTGAGCACTGATATCTCTCTTGTTTAATATATTATCATACTTCTTGTTAGTATCAATGAAAAGCATGCTTATTCCCCATTTGTAATGATTATGTACTCATGGAATGTACTCATGGAATGTGCACCTGAATAAGGGGTCATGTAAAAAAGTGAAATGTTGCAAAATGCATTGTTATTGTCAAGGGTGACCATCTCAACATCATTCAAAACACAATCCATCCTCCAAACAAATGAAACATTCACTGAGAGCTCTCTCAGCTTAAATTGCAAAAAATTTATTTTTAGGAGTTTATAAGAGCCTCTGCTATAACTTCAGTCATTGAAAATGTATGCACCATCTCTACTCAATAATAATGATACTCAGTTTTTATATAGCGCAAATTACAATTAAGTCTCTAAGCGCTCTGGAAATAGAAGAAAATCAAGAAGTGAGTACAGAAGAAATGAAATAATAAGAACATAATACAGAGATGCCAACCTCTTGACACACAAAAAAACAACAGACTGAGTATCCTAAAAAAAAAATATCAGATTTTCACCAAAACTTGACACTACCACTGGCCCGTCGGCCCTGGGCCAGTAAAATTTCAGAAAAATGTTTTACTGGTACATGTAAGTACGGTCAAGTAAAATGTTACTCTTTCATTAAAATTTAATGAGAAAATTGTAAAGCAAAGTTTATGTTGGGGTTGCAGGGGTTAACTTGTACATGTTTCTATGCGATTCTGCTGTTTTTAGGGGTTTAAAAATATTTTTCTTTAAATGTTTTATATTTATTATTATTTTTTGTTAATATTTTTTTTTCTAAAGATGAAATCATATTTTAAGAGTTGATATCGTATTTCACTCTTATTATCGTACTAAATACGATTTAATCTTACTGGTTGGCATCGCTGATAATAGCATGATAAATGTCCAAACTGGAAACTACTTTGGTACTAGTACATTGTATTGTATAAAGAATGGTGCGAAATGAATCAATTACCTCAACAGATGGAAATGCGTGAAACCCAAACTCCCAAGTGTAGCACGACTGAAATTAATATGCCACAGACATAAAGGAAGCCAAAGCACAGCAGCAGTTGGTCTCACCAGGCAGGCCAAGGCAACTATGACAATGTACACCCACGGGTTCCTACATATAGGAAACAAAATCTACATCAAATCAAACACTGGTGTTACTAGAAGAGTTTACATGGACTCATGGACTAAATTTTCAAAACAAAATCCATATCAAACAAGTCAGCGCAAAGCGTAGCATCCCCTCGCAGGGTACAAATGGCCTACATGTACGTTAGAACAAGTTACCTCCATTGGACTATACTATTATATTACTTGGCAAGAAAGTTAACCACATTTTCACATATATAAAATCTGTCAATTACTAAAGTTATCAATCAGAAACCAGATGTGTATTTTTCACATATTTAATGAGCTATGACCTTGACCTACATGTGCGTACTACAAAATCGAACTTAGCCTGTATTTTAATATGATGTACCTTCATATCAAATTTCATTAAAATCTGTCACACATTACTGAAGTTATCGATCGGAAATCAAACTTGTTACGGACGTACGCATGCACGCACGGAAGCACGGACGGACGGCAGCGTCACTATATCCCCTCCCACTTCGTCGTTGAGGGGATAATAATCTTACAAAACATATGGGCTATTTCAAGCTATTTGGTCCTTTTTTTTACTTACCACACCTAGATTTCAGAATATATTATCTGATGACTGATTTAAGCTGATAGCTCCACTAGACCTTGAATCAGACAACACATCACATTATGAAGTGACATTGTTAGGTCAATTTATGTTTACATTTCCATAATACATTTCCTTTGGACCCACCCATGTACAAAAGCAGGAAGACCAAAAATTGAAGAAAAACAAAAAATTATGCCTAATTTTGACAAGGCACATAAATATCATAAAATAAACCTTACATTTTGAAATTGGCAATATATCTCCAAAAATTGAATTCTGACAATGGCGTATCCAGGGAGGGGGGGGGGGGGGGACATGCCCCCCGGCCAAAAAAACAGGACTCTTCCTATTTGTGCTGTAATATAGGAATGTGCTCTTCAGAAAAGTGGCCTTGCCCTAAAGAATTTTTTTTTTTTTTTAAATTAAAAAAAAAAAAAAAAAAAAAAAAAAAAAAAAAAAAAAAAAAACGAAATTTAAGGCCTGAAAAAATATGTTAAAATCAGCCCTAAATCTGCCTAAAATGTACTGTAACAGAGACGTGCCCCCCCCCCGGCAAAAAAATATGCCAATGGCTGACCTAAAAAGGTGACCTTACCCCCTCCCCCCTTAATGGAGTAAAATGTCAAATTTAAAAATTTTGTGACTAAATTTTTTTTTTATATTCTTTCCCACCATGTGCCCCCCCCCCCCCCCGGGAAGAAATTCCTGGATCCGCCCCTGTCTGAAGTGCCCCTTACAATTTACCTGCAATATGTAACATAAAGTTTACATATATATTTCACCACAGATTTGTTATCTGTGGTCTAAAGAGAAGAAAACATAAATTTTGCCTATTAAAAGAGTAGACATAATGATCCACATAACCCTACTAAAAAGTTCCTGTCCTTGATGATGATGGTAAAAACTGTCATCTTACCTATCTTGTTTCTCATTCTTGTCATGCAACCAATCCCTTGGCCAAGGAAAGAAGAAAAGACCAACAGAGGTCAAGATGTTTTCCATGGTGTTGGTTAAAGTACGAGTTGCATTGTAAAACACAAACCAGGAGGATAAATTCATTATAAGCTGACAGGTGCATGGGTTAAGGTACAAATTAACATTACACAAGGTTCATTGAACAACAGTTACATAATTCAAATCAGTATAATGTTCATGAAGAATAACTAGAACTAATGATAAATACAAAATAATATTCTCATTCCATGTTATTATTATTATTATTAAGTATAAGGCATCACCTGTGCCTGGTAGGCGTAAAGCAAACTGAATCACTGTAACCCTTGAGTCTCTCCTCCCGGTATTATTGATTGGGAGTATGCAGGTGAACCGCTACACCTGGGTTTCCCCCTACTCTTATAGAAGAAATGAAGTTGAGTGCTTCCTGAGCTATAAGCTGGTTGATTTTAGCCCTAATACATGAAGCAGGTTAAATTACAGTTGCATAGATTCTGATTCTGACTCTGTTCTGATCCTGGTCCTGATCCTCAAGAGGGATATAAAGATGACCAATAAGAGCGTTATCGTTCGAGAGAGAGTGTTTGTTGCTTCTAGAACATTGTAGACCAACAATGCTGAGAAACAATAAAAGTTTGTGCTAGCCTATGTACTTGAATGGATGGAGGCATGTGAATGGAAGCAGGTAATTATTGACTTTTTGCTTCCTCGAAATGTGCATCAATTGAAAGGATACTGTCCATCGTGCTACATCTTTGCCATGGATGAGGGCCGAGGTCTTGTACAGGCAAAAATCACCTACAGCCGATAGGGTGGCTTGTAATAGACGAGGAGCTAGAATCTGGCAAAGGTGGTCATAAACAAAATATGTATTATGTATGCAATTAAACAGTTAGGATAACAACTTGCTTGATTGAGAACTAAATTTACAGGATTTTTCAACAATCATGCCTGGGTTATCAGTGGAAAAATGTTGTTAAAAAATTAATATTAGACCTTAAGAATCAATTTATCTGCTTAGATTATAGACCAAAGACTGGAAGATAAATTCATCAGCTGTTCTTTGTAGGCCCTATGTAGGAACAGTTATTTTTCAGAGGTTACCCAAGGAGATTTAGTCAGGCAAGTGGTTTTCTCTGGTCTCCCTACACAGCTTATTTGAATTAAGTTTTTGATGATGACCTGAGGTATCAGTTATGAGATGTGATTGATTCACAAAACCCAATACACCACATTTGCAATTATATTCAACTATCATAATTATATATATTGGAAAGCTTTCTCACTACATCCCACTAGAGTTTAGCTGCAGAAATGCATTTCAATTAGGTTAGGCCCGAGTCATTACGGGTTTTGCTGAACACGGGTTTAACTTGAAAATTTTGGGTGGGTACCAGGTCCCCGAGCAGGAATTTTCCCTTCACCAAAATTTGTGTGCATGCAGCGGCCGGAGTTAAGTTTAAAATGCTGAACTAATAACGCGACAGAAATGACAGTGACTGCTTTCAAATCAATTTAAAAATCAATTCTGAGGGATACATCATTTTTCAGATTTTTTAATAAACGACACACGGAAGGACAACCAGAAAACATAATGCCTCCAGCTACTTTGTAGCAGAGGCATAACAAAGAATTGAAGTGATTAACAGTTGAATATTCCTCATTCCTGAGCAGAATATAAAAACAACATTCTTACTTACCAATACCACTGGGTAGTCTAGCCTCAGTATAGCAAGCATCTTATATAGAACCACAAAGATTGCAGGATAGGCAAAACTCCTCAAACCAGTCTGCCATTCCCATGTCAGGTACCCATATGTAATTGGAGGTTAAGGGTTGCTTCCAAGCCTTCCATAATGCTTAGCAATAAGTAATTTAGTCCTACTATTGAAGCAGCAGCTTAAAACTTCTACACTGTCACAACATGTTTTCTTTACTTTCCACTTTCTACATTGTGTGCGGGTAAGCCTGAATCCTATGACCGGGGTAATAATATATATATATCTGTAAAGCGCTTTGAGAGGGCTTTCGGTCCTGAAAAGCGCTATATACATGTACATGTACATGTAAGAACTAGCTATTATTATTATTACATGTAGTATTAGAAAAGGCATGATGGCTCAGTGGTAGGAGCAGTTGTATCATGCCTGGAAGGTCTCAAGTCTCAACCAAGTCGGTGCTCTAGTTTCCTTTTGTAAGGCATTAATCCTCAATTACCAAGTCTCTTAGAGACTGGCTTGCTTATCTTGTAGTAGGTACTTGCTTTCAAAGTAGTAAAAAATAATCAAATCTTTTATTTTAAAAACTTTTAACGATGATAACTTAACATTTATATCCTTAAAAAAACAATCAAATGTGTTTTCAAACTAATATTCAAACTTATTCAATTCACCATTGGTCTAGTATCATGAACGTTCTTTTGATGCATTTCCTCAAGTATATTTTCAAAGTTTCTAAAAAGGATATCCAAAGACAACCTTGTGGGCCACTTCCACAGATTGCCAATATTCATCAGGAACAAATGAGGTCTGGACCAAGCCTACATTCATCCATCTGAAGAGCACTAACAGGATGAGGAGCCCAGAGTCAGACCAATTCTTTTTCTCTTTTACCGAAGACTGAGCAGATTCCTGTTGATCCAAGGGGCCCAGAGTCTCCACTTGAACACTAGACCTAGGTCTCAAGTTATAAGCCATGATGGAACATCTCTAGAGCTGTAATATGAATAAAACATAAAGGCCATCAGAAGGGAATTAGACTACTTGTACGCTTCTGACAAGTACTTGGTGACCAAGTGTTAAGTTTGGATACCAAAGTCAATTGTTCACAGCAGAAATATTGTAACTGTTCCTTTTCAACCCCTTACTGTACTGTACATTAATTTATCTATGATTTTTTTTATTTGATTTGATTTGATATGGTTTATTGATAAAAGCGTACATTAAAAATAGTAGCCAGAGGCTGAAACAAATTGAATTTACAAAAGATTGATATATACAAATGAATAAAAATACAATTATGTTTACATTGGATTTCAAAATATGAATGGCAATTCACAATGAATAATCAAGGAGATAAGAAAAGAAAAGACTGAGAAAAAATAGAAGAGACTAAAACGGATGACTAGAGGATAATAGAAGGAGAACGATGATACAGTAATGGTAGTTTTGATTGAAAATGAAAACGAATTTGATTACAGAGCTACCATTTCCATGTTCGAAAATTGGTGTAGGGAAAACTATTTACTGCTGAACTCAAAGAAAACAAAAGAAATTGTTTTTGACTTTAGGCAAAAGAAATGTTTTGAACCCATTGATAGACCTGTATACATGTACTTTAATAATGATACCATTAAGAATTTGTTGAAATTTTTGGATACCTACATGTAGGCACAGAAATGGACAAAAAGCTGTCTTGAGAAGACAAGACAAAGCGGTGCACAAAATGCAACCAGCGTATGTATTTTCTTAGAAAGTTGAAGTACTTTCATGTAAACGATAGAATTCTGTTTCTCTTTTGCCAGTCATTCAGTCAATCATTCAGAGTACTATCACATTTGATTCCATTATCTGGTTTAATAATACAAAGCAAAGTGACAAACAAAAGCTGAGAAGGGTTGTAAAACAAGCCAGCAAAATAATGAACCATACTGTTGACCTAGATGAAGTCTGTAAGGAAAGAGGAATATCTAAGGCCCTATCCATTATGTCTGATCTAACCCCCACCCCCTTATTGACCAGTACATACATGTACACCTGAGAAGCAGACGAAGATTGAGATCTGTACAAGCAAGAAACAGTCGCCACATAAATTCATTCATTCCACTTAACATAAGAGTTGTTAATGAAATCCAGTAAAGAGAAGGGTTCTGAACGAAGGCAAGAATGGTAGAGAACGTGAAAACTGTACAAAATACCTTATTGACATGTTACATGAATATAATTTGTTTCACGTACTTACTTTACTGTTGTACCCCTACTGTTATAACATATCAAGGAATAATTTTAAAATAAAATACCTACTTCAGATTAGAGCATAGAATAAAAGAAAAGGGAGGGTATGTAAGAAGAGAGAGAGAGAGAATAAGAATAAGAAGAAGAAGAAGAAGAAGAAGAAGAAGAAGAAGAAGAAGAAGAAGAAGAAAGAGTATTAAAAAGTATATTCATCATGATCATGTATATTATATTAAATGTATACTAAAACATAGACAGAAATAACCATCTGATATTATGGGTCCTTTCTCTAATAAATCTGACATTTGTTGACATTCCCCATACACAGATGGTAATCCAGACCACTCGCACCGGGGGATAGATTGGCCCATTTCTGTTCCTCTTTGTGACAAAAACTTTCTTCCCCCGATTTTCAATATTTAGTTCTAATTTTCTGATTTATAAATCAGATAGAAACTAGATGGAACTTCGACTGCGTGCAGTTGAAAATGATGCCTCCGCCATAGAGCGATTAAACAAATCCTAACGTGCGGTTGGCTTTCATGGCTGTTGTCAACATGGTTCGCCCACGTCAGTTTACTGTCTATTTCTACTCCCAAGTAAGGATGAGAGCTTGTCTTTTGTAAGTCTTGTCCACAGAAGATATAATCCCTTGTCAAAGGTTTTTTCTTATTCGAGATGATCATCACTGAACACTTGGAAGCGTTGAACTTCATGTTCCACCTATCTTGCCACGACTCCAGAGATGTAAGATCCGCCTGTAAGGAGTCTGTGTGCCTCTCGTTCTCTACTTCCTTGTATACCAAACAGTCATCTGCGAATAGTCTGGTCTGGCATTTCAGCAGGTCTGGAAGGTCATTGATATACATCAGGGGCCTGTCTCACTAAACAGTACTTAGTGTAACGGGACTTAGTGTCGCTGCGACGCGTCATGCACTAAGACGGGTCTTACTGACGTCCTGTTGGTGTTTCAGTTTTACTAAACCGTTCTTTACTAAGTCCTGTGTGCGGAGCATCTTCAACAATGAAACGTCTGGATTTTGATTTTACGAAGCTGAATTTCGTGACCTTCGAACTTGTGCGGAGTTAAAAGTAATTTTTTCCTGTAAGTTTTCGTCTGCATCGCGTCGTTTGGGGCGAAAAAGTGAAAGGAGGCTGAATTTTGTCACTTTAAGTGATTGTTTAACATTATTTCGACTACTGTTGGATACAAATGGGGAAGGTATGTTATTAAACTTTTTCTTAAGACAACATAGAAGTAAAATATTGAAAGCGAAATGTATGGATATTGTCGGTAAAATTGCGCTACTGTCGGGAAAATGAGAAAGGGGGATGGAAAATGAGAGGGAAAGGAAAATGAGAGGGAAAGGGAAAGAAAAGAAAGGCAAGAAAGTAAGAGAAGAGAAGAAAGAAAGAGAAACAAGAAAAAGAGGAAGAAAGGAAAAGAAAGAAAAGAAAATAAGGAGAAAAGGAAGGAAAAAAAGAAGAAAAGAATGAAAAAAAAGAAGAAAGAAACGGGGGGGGGGGGGGGGGGGGGTGAAAGAGAGGAGAGAGAGAGACAGGAATAAGAGCCGGGTGCAGTAGGAGAGAGAGGGGATTATTGGGTGAAGTCTTGCTCGATCCTTGTGTGCTACATATATATCAATGCAGAAGTTTGAAGCTAGTGAGATGTATTATGTCGGTCGGCCAGCAAAAAAAATTCCCCTACGAACTGTGACTTTTTATCGGACGAAGATTTTTTTTTGAAAATTCAGACAATGAGTCCGACGAATCGTCTTCTTTCTCAAATACTTTAATGAAACGTCAAAGCCATCAATATTTGAAGATCGACCATCATCGAGATTGAATTAGAACTTACAAATTTGGTGCGAAATTTAACACATGACATTACACTAAGAACTGTTCCTATTTCTCGTCTCGACAAGACGTAGGCTACGACCTGTATGCAACTTAGTGAAATGGGTACTAAGTACGGTACGCGTCTTAGTGGGCTTTGTGAAACTCCCGCTAAGATGCAAAACAGTCAAAACAGTGCATCCTGGCCATAAACTGCTACCTACCATCTGGCGTCAATCAAACTGATCTTGTAGAATACCAGGAGAGCCTTGCCATCATATCCAACATCCTATCCACCCACACTGACGACGCCATTGTCATTTCAGGTGACTTCAATGCTGACACAGTCAACCCTAATAACAAAAGATCCCTAGGATACCTTCGAGCCTTCCTGGAAGATGCTGGCCTAATCAGCATAACAGAAGAACTTGGAAGCCAAGGAAATTTCACCTATAGATCGGATGATGGTGCAAAGACATCGTTTATCGATGGCTTCCTTACGCTTAGTTCATCACTCCACCAGTTTGCTGATCTCACCATTGGCCCTGACACACCTCTGAACACTTCGGATCACCTGCTGGTAAGGATCAAATGGTCTATAGTGCTACCAGGACATACAGATCGTCCAAAGCATGCAACAACCACTCAGCCAGCCCAGAAACTGCAAAGATTGAAAATCAAATGGACAGAAGCATCCAAAGATCAGATAGCGGCTCAATATACTGATCCCCTTGAAATTACAGCAAGGCAGTTGTTTACTACATTCCACAAGAGAGTGCTGGACAACACATCTGTGGACGACTTGCTTCATAAGCTTACCACGGCCATGATTGAGACCTCACTCAGCCTCCCACACAGCTATCCTTCCACAGGTAAACACGGCAAACCAGAATGGACCGCGAAAGTCGAAGACTCATACAACGCTGCCCTTGAAGTTTGGAAGAGATGGAAAACAGCTGCTAAGCCTCGCAGTGGTACACTCGTCACAGACTACCTCCTATGCAGAAAGAAGTTTCGAAGTCAGCTCCGCCAATCTCGAGCTCACAACAACAGAAAACTCCTGAACTGTATCGAGAACGCCTGCGAGACGAACCAGCAGCTCTTCCACAAACTTGTCAAGAACCAGCGCTCCAAAGACAGCGGGGTATGGTACAGAGTCACTAGAGTACGATGGTAGAACATATCAAGGGGAGGGCGAAGTCATTGAGGGCTGGGAGCTATATTTTACTGACCTCTCCCTACCAGACCATACAGGAGATGCCTCTAGCAGCTCTGCCTTCGACATCCCTGAAAAGCCCACGTTCTCAGCACCCATGTATGCCCTCACCATAACATCTCATGACATCAAGGAAGCTACTACTAAACTGAAGAAGGGCAAAGCCAGTGGTCCAGACAACATCAGCCCAGAGCACCTCATATACATAGGAAAAGCCACCATGCACTTGATTCTGCTCATCTACAACTACTACCTCTCAACCGCTCATACTTCGCAGAAGATGAAAGATGGATTGATTCTTCCCTTCCACAAGGGCAAAGGAAAGGACCCCCGCGATCCTAGGAACTATCGAGGGATTACCTTGTCTTCATCCTTCTCCAAGCTCCTTGAGCTTATCCTCAAACCAAGGCTAGAGAAGACCCTTCAAGGCAATGGTATACCAGATGAGCTACAATTCGGGTTCCAGAAAAACCACTCCTGCATGCTGACTTCATGCACTATGGAATTCATAATAGAGATCAATACCTGCCAGAAACGGCCTACCTATGTTGCTCTCCTTGATGCAGTGAAGGCATTCGACAAGGTCTGGCATGACGGCCTCTTCTACAAAGTGGATCAAACCAACATTGACCCTGCATACACAGCCCTCCTCAGATCTCTGTATGAAAACATGGAAAGCCGAGTTCTGTGGTCTGACAAGACAAGTGGAGCCATACCAATACTCCAGGGTGTCAGGCAAGGTGGGGTACTCTCCCCCCTGCTGTACACTGTTTTTGTTGACGGTCTTATCAAGGAGCTGAGAGACAAGAGGCTAGGTTGCCAGTTGCTGAGCCAGCATGCTGGTGTGATCGTTCTGGCCGATGATGTAGCGCTAGTCAGCTCATCTCCAACAGAGCTTCAAGAGATGCTGAATGTTACATGTAAATATGCAGAAACTTGGAGATATCGCGTCAACCCACAGAAAAGCAAGATTGTTACCTTCAATAACAAAGCTCACAAGTCAACGGCCTAACCCATGTGGATCCTTGGACAGATGCCAATCGAATCAGTGACCCAACACCCGCATCTGGGAATCATAAAATCCTCCTCCAAACATGATCCAACAGACCTAATGATCTCCAGAGGCACAAAAACCTTCTATGCCCTCACTGGAGCGGGTGCATACACAGGAGGTCTTCTACCACACCACTGTGCACGATTCTGGAAAACATACTGCATCCCACGTATGCTGTATGGAGTGGCCATCATGAAGCTCAACCAGACAAGGCTAAATAAACTGGACAGATCCCAATACCAGCTCTTCAAGAAGATCCTCGGGCTCCCCAACAGTGCTGCCGATGATGCTGTCTATCTTCTCACAGGCCTCTTTCCCCTGAGCATGCGAGTTGACCAAGAAACTCTCCTCATCATAGGGCAACTTATCAATCTGCCACACTCAAGATATGAGGTACGCACACTACATCATGCTATCACTAACTTCACTCCCTTGGCGAGGACCTGGGAAAGAACTTTGAGAAGTTATGAGCTCCCCAACCTTCACTCCCTCCTCTCCAAGCCCATTCCCTACATTACATGGAAGTCAGTCACTAGGTCTGCAATTGACTTGGCTATGCAGAAGAAAGTCCGTGAGGCCATCAATGCAAAATCATCTCTCGCCTTCTTCAAGAATAACACCAGCTCCCCCCATGACCTTTACCCGAAGTCCATCTCCTCAAGTTTTCTACGTCAAGCCATCATTGTACGCTCACAACTTCTCTCTCAGACGTACCTAACTCAATCCCAGCTGTGTAAAATCAAGAAGGGTACGATCCGATTCTGCCAAGTGTGCAAAGCGGAAGAGGAGGACATCACACACTTCATAGCCAAGTGCAAACCACTCAGGAATCATCGCCAGAAGCTAGTTGACAATCTCCACCACAGGGGCGTACAGCAGTCGACACTCGCTCTATTCAGTCCAGATGACCCTGAGACCTTCACGCGGGCAGTCCTACTTCCGAATGTTCTAACTGTCTGCCCTAACCAAAAGAACCTTCTTATTAATGCATCACTGTCATTTTTATACAATATCCACTCTGCTCGTGCTAATGCAATCGCTAATACACTTTCTACCTGACATGACAATCCTGCCTGCTATGACAAACTGCAGTACCCTGGTAGCTGCTGATCTCCGATAGAGCGGAGGAAGAAGAAGAAGAAGCATCTTACACTAAGTCCTATAACGGGACTTAAGGCCGCTTAAGACGCATCTTAGTGCTTAGTGAGACAGTAACAGGAACAGTAACGGCCCGAGCACTGTCCCCTGGGGCACCTCGGATAGATCTAGAGTAGAGACAAGTCTAACAATAACATTGTTAAGTTGAAACAATTTGTATTTCACTGCTAGATCTAGATCTAAATTAGGTGTCATCAATTGTCACTAAAGTATTGAGTGAAATCAGTTGAGTTTTGTACACTACAGTGGTGTCTGAAATGTTGAGAATCAAATATCAAATGACACGGGATGGCCCTGCATGGCCACTGGCACTGGCCCGACTTTGCCTAGGTCTAACGTTAGACCGAGTTTTTCTGTCTCTTTCGTTCGTTAGCCTCTGATTTGGGTGGATCCGGGCTAACTCCGACCAGGGGACAACTCGGCCCAGCTGCAAAAACGGTCATTTTTTGTCATGTTACCCTAATTCTAACCCTAAACCTAAACCTAACCCTAAACCTAAACATGCAAAAAATGACCGTTTTTACAGCTGGGCCGATTTGTCCCTGGTCCGAGTTAGCCCGACCGATTTGGGTAGGTTCGGCTCTCTCTTTGGGGACAGAACAGCCCTATACGCTTTAGTGTACGCGCGTTTGTGTAAAGAAACGTTACACAAAACTTGGCCAAACTTAATCCCTAATTTTGATATTTTACCGGATGCATATCCGATGTATTTATAGTCCACAATTAGCTATAGACCTATGCTTTACTATTTCGGTTCCACTTACCAACTTGACTACTTGAATCCGTTTAATGGTTCCTTTTCAGGAAATTATGGGTCAAGATCGACATCCATGAAGAAAATCTTGAAGCCGGGTTGCGTATGACGTCATCTAAATCTCATCTCTTCTAGTCTACGCGCAAGGCAAAATGATTATGAAGGGAAAACTGTGATTACGAACTCGTAGCTCGTGCAATAAACCTATCGTTAATTATGCCTTGGTTCTTGAAATATTTTATAGGGGGGGGGGGGCATTATGTTATGTCATTCGTTGTAAATGCTTTTTTTGTGTTGTGAGGTTGTAAAATCATTAACTTGTATTAATACATTGAATATTTATATTTTAGTGCTCCCAAATTAACACTAAACCTATCGTTTTAATGCCTTGGTTCTTGAAATATTTTTCTTTTTCTTGTCGTCAAGTTATTCCACAGTTTTCCTTTTTTTTTCTGACGGCCCGGGGGGGGGGGGGGCATTATTTTATGCCATTAAGGTCATTACAAACTCATACCTCGTGCACATTGATTGTGTGGTTCATAAACAATCATGGACCCGATCGCGACGTGCAATATTTGTGCAAATGGAATTACAATTCAATTCAATATATACAGAGTGACTGCGAAACTCTAAAATAAAAACATATTTATTGGAGAAGTTCGAATGATTGGGGTGTGCCTCTTTCAAACTAAGGGGGGGGGGGGTTAACATTTTGAAATCGGGCCAATTAATAAATGACATAGAACAGGAACATATCTAACATAAAGCCGGCCCGCCCCCCCCCCCATAAAACATTTCAAGAACCAAGGCATTAAAACGATATAATAGGTTTAGTATTAATTTGTAAGCACTAAAATATAAATATTCAATGTATTATACAAGTTTTTACTTGATTTTACAACCTCGCAACACAAAAAAAGCATTTACAATAAATGACATAACATAGCCCCCCCCCCCCCCTATAAAACATTTCAAGAACCAAGGCATTAAAACGATAGGTTTATTGCACGAGCTACGAGTTCGTAATCACAGTTTTTCCTTCATAATCATTTTGCCGAGAACGCAGGTTCGAAACTGAGTCACGTCTTTCGGATGGTGACGTTTAAAGGTCGGTCCCCAGACGTAAATAATCATATCTGATTGATACACGTCTGTACTACACTGAGTGAGTGTGAGTGTAGTAGGTGTCTGGTCAGGTCGCCCCAAGCCGGTCGCCTCCTATACGCAGTCGCCTCCTAACGTAGTCGCCCCCAAATTGTGTGGTCGAGTCGCCTCCTATACACAGTCGCCTCCTATACACAGTCGCCCCCTATATACACAGTCGCCCCCTACGTACAAAGGCAGTACGCTAGCGCAGCGGTCAGAAGCAGGTTATTTAATATAATGATGTCCACCTTCTTCTAGATAACTATTTTGTGCTAAAGTATGATGTGATAAACGTTTCATTTTATTTTGATGCAACAGAGATTTACATTCAAAGGTTTTACTTGTTATAATTGTACAGTAATATTCTTCTTATTTCGACATTATCAGCCACTGGTTCTCTGTTTCATTCCCTAAACTAAATAAAAGGTATATGTGAGAGGGGGGGGGGGTTAGAAAGTTGGACGTAGCCTGTATAGACCGTACTGTATTCATTGTTATGATATTTGTCTCTCCTCCTCCAATCACTCCCTTCCGGCTCTGATTTTGTTCTTTAGTTTGTCTCTTTTGGTGTGATTATATCTTTTCGCTAAAGTATAATGTCCGACGTATACCATCAGGAATATGTTATAATAATTAATCTCAAGGAAGGGATGATGCCGGGATACAAGCAAATGGCGGAATAGACAACATTATGGAAGATGAAGATGGACATAAACAGAGAGAGGGAGAGAGGGGGAGAGTGGGTTGGCGGGAGATAGAAAGTTGGACGTATAGTCTGTACTGTATTTATTATTATGATAATTGTCTCACCGACTCCCCCCCCCCCCCCCCAGCTCATATTTTTTCTTTAGTTTTTCTCTTTTTTGTTTGTTTATATCGTTTGGCTTAAGTATAATATCTGACGTTTATACCGTCAATATAGCATAATAATTTTTTATTTTTATTTATCAGTTTGAATTAACAGAGATTTACAGTAATATTCTTCTCATTTCGATATTATCAGCCCCTCGTTCTCTATTTCGTTCCCTAAACTAGATATAAGGTATAACATGTGAGAGGGGGAAGGGATAGAAAGTTGGACGTAGCCTATATACTGTATTTATTGTTATGATATTTGTCTCTCCTCCTCCAATCACTCCCTTCCGGCTCTGATTTTGTTCTTTAGTTTTTCTCTTTTGGTGTGATTATATCTTTTAGCTAAAGTATAATGTCCGACGTATACCATCAGGAATATAATCTCAAGGAAGGGATGATGCCGGGATACAAGCAAATGGCGGAATAGACAACATTATGGAAGATGAAGATGGACATAGACAGAGAGAGGAGAGAGGGTGAGAGTGGGTTGGCGGGAGATAGAAAGTTGGACGTAGTCTGTACTGTATTTATTATTATGATATTTTTCTCTTAATCCTTGTCTGAATTCAGTTTTTCCTCACCGCGCTGACGTTTCATTAAATTATTAGAGAATGGTTTTCGACTCTTAATCCTTGTCTGAATTAAGTCCCCCCCCCTTCCGCATGAAGCGTGGAAGCTTTGACGTTTCATTAAATTATTAGAGAAAGAACAAAAAAGACAAATCGTTGTACCGACTCTTCATCATTGTTTGAATTATCAAAAATGTTTCTTTGTTATTAGTTTCAGCGTTATCCTCCGCGCGCTTTATAATAATGAAGGACAAAAGCGCCGCGACATAGTAATAAGGTATGTATTTGGAAGAATAACTGCTTTTTATTTGTGCACAGATTAAAAGAAAAGTGACATCTATACACATAATAAACACAAATTATTATACAGGTTAAGGTTGGAACCTACTAGTGCTTTCGAATACTTGAAAAGATGAGCAGATGTTCATGTTGGTCACGCATGGTCGTCCCTTATATACAATATTCATTAAACAAAATCACGCACTTATGAATTGAGAGTAAAATTAGATAACGTTTCGTTCATTTGGGTTTACCGCCGAAACTGCTTTTATTTCGATCTATTTGCTTCATAATAAACTTATATAAGTCATATCATTTATAGCTCACTTTTAATTCAATGTAGAGACATTCTCTTCTATTTCTATTTTTAAACTTTTACAACTATCTCATGACGACACGTTCTAGTATGGGTCTTGTAAGTAGTGATTAAAAAGGGATCTGAAAATGCTCTAATTTGCTTGCGTGTACAAATTATACTTGAGAAAATCTAAGAAAGCCAATCTATTAAATCCTTATTATCTCTATAGCCTGTGGATATTAAGTTCCGTCACTAAGCCAGCCAGAACGATTTATTTATTTATTTATTTAAAATGGTTTATTTCATTAAAAAACATTCGCGGCCCGAGAGCCGAATCAGTAATGTTTCTTTTACAAAGTATACATCAGTGACAAAGTAAAATTACACATAAAAATTATGCATGGTAGCATAATGGTAGTAAAATTGCAATTCTTTTGTACATAATTATTGTGCTTCAACGACCTTGGCAAATTGCTTGGTACACTCTGAAAACTGAAATGTTAAATCACCATTTAAAAGGGCCGAGGAGTGACCACTCTTTCAAAATGGTAGATTAACACTTTGAACATGCTGGATCCAACACTATAAAGGTCGAATCTAGCAGGTTAAAAGAAACAATCTGACATTCTAAAAGAGTGGTCACTCCTCGGCCCTTTAAATTTACATTTAACATTTCAGTTTTTAGAGTGTACATATACAGAAATCTGAATTGTATTACCATATTTGCAATTAAATTATATACTGAACTTATACAATATATGAATAGTGATACATTTTTGATATTCAAAAGAATTAAATGTTTTAGTTGGAAAATGCATAGCCAGATGGGTATGGTTACTATATGGTATGGTTATGGTGTTTTCTTCAATAACAGAAACAAAGACAACAACAGAAACCAAATCCAGGAATTATAAAATCAAATAGATGCTACAATGATTTAAACAAATTATACATTGTAGGCAAAATGCAGAACATTTTGTATTTGGGCCAATTTACTAAAAGGTACATGTAGAATATGATATTGTATAAAAATAAGATAAGTTTCGCATAAAAAACATAGGTAAAAGTTTGCCATTGTAATATTCGATATAGTGTGCATCATCTTGGGAATTGTTAAAAAGTCAAACAGGATTTTATACAATTAAAACTGATTTAGTTTTAAAAAAAAGTAAAATTCTATATTCTAACCCTAGTAACATTATTAAAAAAGGCATTTACATGACTTGTCACCCTTTTATTTAAGAACTTATACCAGAGAAAGAGAGAGAGAGAGAGAGAGAAAGAAGGAGAGTGAGAATAAGGAGAGAGAGGGGGTGGGAGAGAGATAGGAAGAGATAGAGGGAGAGAGATAGGAGAGAGAGACAGAGAGAGAAAGAGAGGGAGAGAGAGAGAGAGAGAGAGAGAGGGGGGGGGGGGGGGGGGGGGGACAAAGAGTGAGAGTAACAAGACAGTGAGCGCTAGCGAGAAAGCCATGAAGAGGGTCTCCCCGCTCCGCAGCACGCACAGCACTGACAGAGAGGAGACAATAATATTGAGAGAGTGATCGATGTGTTAGTACCACTGGCGTACCTATGGGGGGGGGGGGGGCAGGGGGGGCAGAGTGCCCCCCCTGACGGGCTCCAGGGGAAAAAAGAAAAAGGGGAAAGAAAAGAAAAGAAAGGAAAGGAAAGAAAAAGAAAAAGGAAAAGGGAAGAAAAAAAGGAAAGAAAGAGAAAAAAGGAAAAAAAAGGAAAAGGAAAGAAAAAAGGAAGAAGAGAAAAGGAAGAAAAAGGGAAAAGAAAAGGAAAGGAAAAAATGGGGAAATTAAAAAAAAAAAGACCATGGCCGTACGCACCAGGGGGGGGGGGGGGGCAGTTGACCCCAGATATTTTGAAAACGTACAGTTTTTTCCTGAAAATGTAGTGTAGGCCTATACCAAATCCTTCAATTCTACTTTTGAAAATGCAAAAGTACCCTCATGACTAGTTCGGTCGCTCGAACTCCCTTCACTCCTTTTGCTTTTGAGATTCTTCGAA